ATACAGCATCAATTGGTCTTGGAAATGACAGATACAAGTCCTGCACAGTGGCCAAAGGGATTTAAGCCATTCTTCTTGCAGAATAGTGGCCAGGTTACTTTGTAATGCTGGTGGGGAAAATGTTTTCTACCTTGCTCCCCCAAAACACTCCAGAGTGGCTCAATAATATTTAGATCTGGTGAATGTGCAGGCCATGAGAGATGTTCAACGTTACTTTCATGTTCATCAAACCACTCTGTCACCAGTCTTGCTGTGAGTCTTGTTGCATAATCATCCTGATACACGACACTGGCTTCAGGAGTGCACATGGTCCTCCAGAATATTTTGGTAGTCCTAGGCAGCGACATTCCCACTTAGCATAAGTATTGGGCCTAGAGAATGCCATGATATTGCAGCCCAAACCGTCACTGATCCACCCTCACGCTTCACTCTTGGTGGTACGCTTATTTGGGGCTTCTCCACACCGTAACTCTTTCCATGTGGAATAGACAGGGAATGTGGACTCATCAAGGAACAATACATCTTTCACATTGTCCACAAACCAAGATTTTTGCTGCTGGCACCATTGAAACCGATGTTTGGCATTTGCGTGAGTGACCAAAGGTTGGGCTATATCAGCTCGGTCATGTATATTGACCCTGTGGAGCTCCCGACAAACAGTTTTGTAGAAAGAGGATAGTTGAGGTGCACGTTTAATTCTGCAGCGAGTTGGGCAGCTGTGGTTCTATGTATTTTTGGATACAATCCAGGTTAGCACCCTGACATCCCTTTCAGACAGCTCTTGCATCCACAGTTACTACTGTTGGATGTGATTCATCCTTTTTGGTGGTATGCTAACATTACTCAGGAGACCGTGGCTCTTGATACATCACAACTTGCTGTCTTGGTCAGAGATACGCCAGCGAGACGCACACCAATTTGTCCTCTTTTGAACTCCAAAATGTCACCCATAATGTTGTGTGCATTTAAAACTTTTTAAGCAAAACCGTGCTTTTACTCTCCTAATTACACCTTCACACTCTGCTCTTACTGGTGGAATGCATAATCACCTGCCATGAAACCTCCAACACTAAATTGGCCAATGTTTTAGTTTCATTGTCCAACCCCTGTACAAATTGTCATATTGCACAGCCTTATCTCCAAAACAAGGCAAAGATTTGAGATTGTGTTGCTCAGTCATGCCCTTTAACGTCTGAAATCTCTGCCTCAACAGACCCTGAAGTACCTCTCTAAGACGCCATGTGTTCATCAGAAACCAGAGACAGTGAAGGAGTTCCTCACCGCCATGCTGCCTCACAAACTTACTAAGTACTTTTTATTTTTTCTCTTATTTTGTAAGCATGCATTTAAAACTTGTGCACTGAATCACCTCTTTGAAAGGAAAAACCTTAAAGCCTCAAACTGTGTGAAAGCCACAGTAAATACAGTGCATTGCAGTGACTTTGTAATTCTGGGTTTGAGATGCACCATTGTGAAGGTTTGTGTTGTGATGTTTCTGAAACCAGTACACGTGTGAGTTGCTGGTTTTGCACTTGACAATGAGTCTAGTGTTAGTTTATCAGATTTTTTATTTTAGCTTGTGAAAAAAGCAGCCTGTTAACTTCTTTTCTATTTCTGTTCAAAGAGCAGAGAAGCTGCAGCTCTTAAACCACAGACCTCAGACTGCTGTTGAGATCCAGCTGGTATGAGTCTTCACATCTTTTTTTCATACACTTTGTCTTTAACATCTTTGCCCATTTTTGACAATGCTAAGTATGTTCAAAATGTTAAACCCTTTAACTGCCCCACCAAGAAACAAAAATGTGTATTGCATTACCTAACTCCTAATGTCGCTAGTTAACATACTCAATGCGAATTTTTTTTTCAACACATGCCATGACGTGTCGGTTTATGGTAAAAGTACTGCAATTAATGCATATACTATGAAAAAGCTAAAACTATGAAGTGTACATTTTTGAAAACTAAATCATCTTCATTTTTAAGGTATGCCATGAAATATTTCAGATTCTCATTTAACATGTTTTTTTTGTTTTTTTTACAATAAAACCTAAATGAAGTGAAGTAGTGCAACAGGATTGTTTGTTTGATATTTTTTTTTTGTAAAAAAAAAAAAAAACATTCTTTACTTAAACAGTCAATAATATGTGGCCATTTTGTCGAGCAGGCAATTAAAGAGTTGAGAAATGATAGTGTCCCATAAATGTTTTTTTCTTCTTCAAAAATTACCTTTAACATATTGTTTAAAGTAGCTGTTTGTGAATGTAATAGATCTGCAATTTTTTAAACACATTAAACTAAGTCTATGGTTAACTATGGTCACCTTAAAGAAATAATTCAGAAATGCCAAAGTAAGCATCAGCAATGCACAGGGACTTTTTTAAATAATTATTTTGGTTGGTTTTTACCTTTTATTGAGATAGGATAGTAAAGGACAGACAGGAAACGATTGGGTTCAGACAGAGGGAAGGATCAGCATAGGACCCCTAGCTAGGAGTCGAACTCAGGTCGCTGTGAGCACTATTGTGCCATATGTTGGTATACTTAACCACTAAGCAATTGGCGCTGAATTGCACAGGGAATTTTCAATAAGCCAGCTCAAGCCCTTCCCAGCAAGCATTTTTTCATTCTAAAAGATGTCTAATAGATGTCTAAACATTGTCGTCTTGGCTAAAACAAGGCTAAATTTGGGCTGTCAGTGAAAATCTTATAGAAGTCTAAAAATAGCTCAAAACTAAACTAGTCGTCAAATAGACAGAAATGAATGACTACACATATATAGTCTGTCTATTTGACGACTAGTCTAGTTTTGAACTATTCTTAGATGTCTATTTTGTTTGCATGTTCTCCCCGTGTTCGCGTGAGTTTCCTCTTTGTGCTCCAGTTTCCCCCACAGTCCAAAGAGATGCGGTACAGGTGAATTGGGTTGGCTAAATTGTCCGTAGTGTATGGGTGTGAATGATTGTGTATGGTTGTTTCCCAGAGATGGGTAGCAGATGGAAGGGCATTTGCTGTGTAAAACATATGCTGGATAAGTTGGCAGTTCATTCCGCTGTGGCGACTAAGCCGAAAAAGAAAATGAATTAAGAGAGTTTGTGCACAACGAATTATGAAGTTTTGAGGTGTAACAAAGATTTATTTTATTTAATATTTATACAATTTATGCAAAAAAAAAGAGAAGTTTTTCCTAAGTTTTCCGAAAACATGATTATTTTACCTTCCCCATTTTCAGATAATTTCACTTGTTTTGAGGAAAAACTAATAATTTTCACCTAATTTTTCTAAAGGTGAAAACAAATACATTTTTCACTTGATCTAAGATTTTTTAGATATTTGGACTAGAAACGAAACAAAGCAAAGGAAGAAAAAAAAAAAAGATTATTCATTTTTTTGTACTTAAATATCATCTTGTGAAACTGTACTCAAATCACAATATGTATCATAGAAAAATAAAACATTGCAATATCTTATATATAAATATTTTTCTGATATCATGATGCAGCCCTGAAACCTACTGTGGAAAACCTTCAAAACTACATCAGAACCCTTTAAAATAGTGTGAATTAAGGCTTTTTAATCCATTTAATAGGAAAGTGACCATGACTGATGTTTATAATTGAACTGAATGTTTCTATTTCAAATGTTTGCATGCATTTTATATCTATTATATTTTAACAAACAAATCAACAGCACAAGTGATTATCAAGATGTGTTAAAGGGCCATGAAACCCCCCTCTTTCGGTTCATGTCTACCACCGAATTTTTTCATAAAATGCTTTGTGATGGGCGTGGAGCGCTGCGAGCAGAGGGAGGGATGGTGTGGCCGGCATAGAAGGGAAGAAAGAGGCGAGCGAACAGCTGTCAGTTGGCTCACAAAATGAGATGCACACCATGAGGAGGCGCATGATTTATAGTTTTATATTTTCCCATAGGATAAGAAAACTCAGCTACGAATAAAAATAAGAAACCGACGTGTCATCACTCCACTAGCAGATTCACGCTACGTCGCTGATTTTGATCCCGCCCCAAAAATGATTTTAAACCCAGAAGATAAAATTAGCTGACAAAAGCTTCAAATTATCCAGTTTTCCCCTCAGTTAAAGCTAACAGGTGCTAACGTTGTCTTAACTGATGGTCAACTTACACAAATCTGTTTCATCTGATCTGTTACACAAATCAAATTTCAGAACAGAACACAGTTATGGTATTTTTGATTTGATGAAAGCAGTGTTGATGAGCAAAAGATACTTTTTCTTTAGAAAAGTACAGGACAAAAAATGGTCATGCAAATGGCATAGTAAAAATAGTCTCTACAAACTAGTCTGACAATTATATTAACCAACTAAGAAACTGAAGATGTAAATTTGAAGAAAAACAGGATTTATTAATTACTGCTCAAAGCCTGTGGTACATTTATAAAAATATATATATATATATATATATATTAATAGTATTGATGAATAAACAAATAAAAAAAAAAACACTTACTGAGTCTTATGGAGTGTGAGAGTCTGAAGGGACAAAGATGGATTTCTGAACAGCCAACAAAAACTGGATGTTATTTGTATGACATCTCTATGAACTTAACTTAGGCAAGGCAAGTTTATTTATATAGCACATTTCATACACAGTGGCAATTCAAAGTGCTTTACATAAACAGGAATAAAAGATAATAAAGACTGATAATAAAAATGATTAAAAACAGATGAAAACAGACCAAATGTGTTAAAACAAGTTATAAATGTGTTATAAAACAATGAAAAATAAGAGAAAAACATATTAGTGCGATCTGACGGACCTAGCACAGTGCTCATTTAGTAAAGGCACAGCTAAACAGATGTGTTTTCAGTCTTGATTTGAACGTGCCTAATGTTGGAGCACATCTGATCATTTCTGGAAGCTGATTCCAGCAGCGAGAGGTGGAGTATCTGAAAGCCGTTTCACCCTGCTTTGAATGAACTCTTGGAATTTCTTGTTTATATGATCCTAAAGATCTTTTTTCAACTTACAGATGGTAGAGGAAAGTGAAGAAAGGCTGACAGAAGAACAGATCGATGAACTTATACAGAAAGTCACGGACATCCTGCCCGGTGACCCACAGACAGAAGCCAATGAATCTGCTGATCCTCAAATGGAGACCAACCAATAGCATTACCCCCAGAAACTCACAGTTTAATTTTTTTTTTTTTAGTTTTTCATCCTTAAACGCCCAAGAGACTGACTTTAGATGGGTTGACAGTGATAATACTTACGTTTACTGTTGATCTTTATTATGTCAATGAAAACATTAGCCATTGCTACATCTAAAATAATAAAAATCCATATTTATTTAACCATAAATATCATGTTATTTTGTCAGCATTGTTTCCCATGCACAATTGTCGAAGCTGCATTGATCTTTGTTTGAGTAAGGATATGATCTTCTGGGCTCAAGACAGTCTCAGTTCCTCTGCGACATCCTTCCTGTATTGCTACTCTTTATTTCAGCTCATAAATGTTACAATCACTGACCATTTTGATTTGTGAGAAATTGCTCAAAAGCAAACCCATACCGTTTGTATGTCCATTAAGTTCAAATGTGAAACTGTGAATCAACAGTTTTTGACTTTAAAACTCTAGTATACTTGTTACAACCAAGTTAACCAGGATTTTTATCAACAAGTTGCTTAAAGGATTGTTTCACTTATAGAATGAAAAATGTCCTGGTAATGTACTCACTCTTTTGTCTTCCAAGATGTTGAATAAAAGTAAGGTACTTGGGGAGACATGCATGACTTGTACGGTGCTCCGTGTTATGAATTTCCAAACTGATATTTCAGTACAGCTTGAAAGGACTCTAAATTATTTTTACAGTCATTTTCTTTAATATTTCCTTTAATATCTTTATTTAACCTCAAAAGGTTGCATAGCAGCAAAGCTAGTACTAGTCGAACTAAAACTGTAGAATTGTGTATCCAATTTTGTACTTCTAATGAAAGAAAATGGCTGATCATTTGATTGGCTAGTTTCATATCATTTAGAGCAGAGATGCCCAAACTAGGGTCCACAGTCCAAAGTTGGCCCATGGCAACTTTTGATTTGGCCCACCATCCCATCTGAGAAGAGGAGAATGATGGGGATGGTTTAGAGATTGTGATTTCAAATTTAATGTAACCTTTTATTTCTTTTTTTTATTGTTAAGCTACAAAATAGCTAACTGAAATTTATCATTTCTATTTAAATCGTGTCAATTTATCAGATTTAGTTTTAAATGTGCAGAATGTCAGTAAGTAATGGTTTCTATTTATTTTGAAATATTAGGAAATAAATTAGCAAATTACCTATGGCAACTTAAATGTAAAATAGCATGGTAGATTTATCTTTGGCCCGTGGCTATTAATGATATTTGGTTTTTGACTCTTCATATGAAAAAGTTTGGACACCCCTGATTTAGAGCCTTGTCAAGCTGCATTGAATCTACAGTTTTGATGTTCAAACCACTAAGCACTATAGACTTCAAGAAAATAGAGACAAACTCTGCACACTTTCCTCATCCTCATCTTTTTGATGAAAGTTTTTATATTGATATGTTTGTCACACTTATTATACACGATTGGCCCCAATATACCACAATTTTAATAATAGAAAAACAATATCTTAAAATTATATAGAAAATAATCTAACATGATTATTTATATATTCCTGTCTGCAGAATTCTTCTCAGGAGAACAGAGCTTGATATACTGTGCATCCGGAAAGTATAGAGCTTCACTTTTTCACATTTATGTTACAGCCTTATTCCATAATGAATTAAATTCATTTACTTCTTCAAAATTCTACACGCATTACCCTATAATGACAATGTGAAAAAATATTTTTTTAAATTGTTAAAAATATATATATGTAAAAAAAAAAAAATATATATATATATATATATATATATATATATATATATATATATATATATATATATATATATATATATATATATATATATATATATATATATATATATATATATATATATATATATATATATATATATATATATATATATACACCATATATACATATATATATATATATATATATATATATATATATATATATATATCATATATATACATATACATATATATATATATATATATATATCTATATACACACATATATATCTATATATACATATATATATATACATATACATATATATATCATATATATATATATATATATATATATATACATATATACACATATATATATACATATATATATATATATATATATATATATATATATATATATACACATATATATATATATATATATATATATACACATATATATATA